GCAATGGTTTACTAACGGGAGATGTGATGAATTACAGCAGCAATACTTGAAATATAAGGAAGAAGTGAAGCAATTATGATACCTATTATTTTTTATAATGACAGAAGGAACGTGGAAGAAAAAAACATTTTGTGCAGCATGTGAAAACAAGGAAATAGAATGAAAGAAGGGCTGCTACTTTTCATGCTCCCGAAACCAGCCATCTCATCATCATAGCATGGTAATGATAGTTAAAGTTTATGTTAAAAAAGAATAGAAGGAGCTGCTGCAAAGGTCTTTGTGATGCCTCAAATCTGTTAAGTCAGGCATGCTCTTACAGACTGAATGTTCAAGTTACGAGACCCCATCATACTCCAGTGGCTGCATGGTGCTTGAGCTTGTCAAATACTTAAATGTTTTGCTCAGAAATTGTTTGCTTTATTGGTTTCTTGAGTTTCACCAGATAAAGCTACAAGGTTGGCTAATTTGGTGTTAGTTATCCATATTAAAGTGCACTGTTTGTGACAAGATTATGGAAATTGTAACCTCAATAATGACAATTCATGCTGTCAAAGCTATGATATGTTGCCTTGAGTTTGATATCAGGCAAACATGGATTGAAACTGTTTTCTAAAAAAAAAAAAACACTGCTTTTTAGTAACTTTCACCCCATAATTTGTATTTATTCAATCTCAGAATGGGAGCAAGGCTGAATCACAATTATCTTTTGGGAAATGCTCTACAAAACTGCATTGCTTTTATTTCTGTGGCATAATTTTGTACCTAATTCAAAGACTTTCTCTGGTGTAGTTTGTAAGATTGTTTGAACTTCTACTTTCTGACCTGCTTGGTGCCACTAAATCCTGCAACCTATTTGGCTTATTTACCCATCTCTCTTGCCATTCCTACATATTTCATGTCAGTCTATTGCATAAATATTGTGTAGTTAACATACACCATGATATACAAATGAATGGTACCTATATAAGCTCGATGTGGGTAAATGAGAACCAATGAACCTATGTTTTTTACAATGGTATAAAGTCCTCTTGTCACGGCCATGGATATCACAGAAGATTTTGCTGAACTGCGCAAGAGAATCCTGTGCAAGGAAATGTTTTGCATGATTTAGCTTAACAGCATAAATTTTATTTTCCCAGTTGCATTGGAGCTCTGCTGGAGTTTGCTGATGACAGGATGCTGAAGGGCTGAAGCTGGTAGCTCTGGCAGGAGTCCAGTGTCCACCAGCTCAAGATCCGACGCCGCCGCGTCGCCGCCGTGCGGCACTCCGCGGAGACGGGGACGGCGGTCATGATTGAAGACACCGCATTTCCCGCCTGGACTGTCCGGTCGGAGACTGGTAATCCCTCCGGTGAGCCGCACACCGTGGAGCTACTGTAGGGATCATCTATGCGATTTGTCATTTCATATTGTCATTTTCATTTATATTGTCACCGCTTTATTAATCAATCTGTTACCTGTTGTCAATTGCGCGTCAAGTTTGTTTGCCATTTGTAAACCGGCCTGCCGCTGGCCTCAACCTTTCTAGTAACCGCTGTGCCATACGCTATAGAACGTGTCGTGCAAAGGTCACGGCGGCACCCCTGAGGCGGCCGCTGCCCGTACGTTTAGGAGCCCATTGTCGTGACGTCATGACTGTGAGCAAAGGTCGCGGTAGGGGCTCTCCCGGCAGCCGGACGGTGACTCATACGTTAAGCTTGTCTCTCGCCGCGCCTGCGGGCATATTGGTAGTACTAGGAACGGCCAGCATGTGACCGCGGTTTTCGGCGACATTGTCAATTCGTTTTTCGACTCTGCTGTTCGCTGCAAGACCAATACACATAGAAAACGGCTCGGGCATTTGGAGAAGAGCGGCTACTCTGAGGCGAGGGAAGAACACGGAGATTCACACAAACGACCTGACTAGGTTGCACCGGCCACAGTCGACCGAGGTGGGCTTCCGCGCCCTTAAAGACGCCTCTGACTGGCCATTGCGCTGACACCCTGGTCGGACCACGGTCATTGATCGGACCCTGCCACTGGTTCGTGCTCAGGCTGCCTTAGCGGGTAGACCTGCTCGACCAGACGCCCCACTGGTGGGCGAGTGCTCGGTTCCGACTTTCACCGCCGGTCCAACAGCGTTCTGCTGGTTCCCGCCGATCCGGTTACGACACCGCAAGTGCCGTACCGACTCGGGCGTCCCAGGTGGGCGTAACGGTTACCACACCAGTTCGCGACCCCCAGGCTCTGTCAGCCGTCGTACGGCTCTCGGACGGACACTCTAATAGATCAGCCACAGATCACGTCGGGGTCACCAATTGTCGTTCTGCGCTGCTGGGTAGCGCTTGGCTGGACGGACGGTCTGTGACAACCTATTGATCTGTGGCAGGGGGTACTGTAGGGATCATCTATGCGATTTGTCATTTCATATTGTCATTTTCATTTATATTGTCACCGCTTTATTAATCAATCTGTTACCTGTTGTCAATTGCGCGTCAAGTTTGTTTGCCATTTGTAAACCGGCCTGCCGCTGGCCTCAACCTTTCTAGTAACCGCTGTGCCATACGCTATAGAACGTGTCGTGCAAAGGTCACGGCGGCACCCCTGAGGCGGCCGCTGCCCGTACGTTTAGGAGCCCATTGTCGTGACGTCATGACTGTGAGCAAAGGTCGCGGTAGGGGCTCTCCCGGCAGCCGGACGGTGACTCATACGTTAAGCTTGTCTCTCGCCGCGCCTGCGGGCATATTGGTAGTACTAGGAACGGCCAGCATGTGACCGCGGTTTTCGGCGACATTGTCAATTCGTTTTTCGACTCTGCTGTTCGCTGCAAGACCAATACACATAGAAAACGGCTCGGGCATTTGGAGAAGAGCGGCTACTCTGAGGCGAGGGAAGAACACGGAGATTCACACAAACGACCTGACTAGGTTGCACCGGCCACAGTCGACCGAGGTGGGCTTCCGCGCCCTTAAAGACGCCTCTGACTGGCCATTGCGCTGACACCCTGGTCGGACCACGGTCATTGATCGGACCCTGCCACTGGTTCGTGCTCAGGCTGCCTTAGCGGGTAGACCTGCTCGACCAGACGCCCCACTGGTGGGCGAGTGCTCGGTTCCGACTTTCACCGCCGGTCCAACAGCGTTCTGCTGGTTCCCGCCGATCCGGTTACGACACCGCAAGTGCCGTACCGACTCGGGCGTCCCAGGTGGGCGTAACGGTTACCACACCAGTTCGCGACCCCCAGGCTCTGTCAGCCGTCGTACGGCTCTCGGACGGACACTCTAATAGATCAGCCACAGATCAATAGGTTGTCACAGACCGTCCGTCCAGCCAAGCGCTACCCAGCAGCGCAGAACGACACTACTGCACCGCGCGTGTCCACCCGCAGCGCAGTGCCAGCAACGGTGCCGTGAGTGCGACATCTGCGTGCATATGACGCAGTGCGACTGTCACGACTCGCGGCTCAGTGTTCTGTCAGTGTGACAGTGCGGCTCGCGCTCGTTTTAGCGTGGTGCTCTGTTGTATATAACCACCTTGATGGAGACCTATGTGCTGCCGCTTGAGTTTCAGTGTACAGTTTTATGCATCAAACTAGCGTAAGTAAATGGCTGTCAGAGGTCAATTTGAAGCGCAATTAGTACCCATAACCCAGCTGGGTTGAGCGAGTCATGTGACTAGTCCCGATGAACGTACTGTTTCGATGTCGTCGGTCGTAGACTTTTGTAAACCATTCGTTTCGGAGCTCTGTGTTGTGTTGTTGGGGACCGCAGTTGTTTGAGCAGTTTGCTTTATGCGTCGTACGCTGACAGAACGCTGGTCGTACACAAGTCATGTGTTTCCTTTCGCCCCTAATGTGTTACTGCGGTACCTATGCAGTTGTAATGTGTCTCTATACACTAACTGGTCGCACTTGGTTGTGAAAATGACACTAGCTGGTCGCACTTGGTTTCAAACTGCGCTTGGAAGTCGTGCAATTTTATTTGCATTTTGCAATGCAATTTTATTGCCGTTACCGTATTGGTAGATTGAGATAGTGTCAGAAGTTGGCCATTTGATGCGTTGTCACTTGTGAGACGTTGTTGCCTTAGTACTGACGAATTGCTGGGCCGCGTTTGTGTTCCTGTTAAGAAACGGATCTCAATATAAGGTGATTCAGAGGTAGGAACCTGAATGCATTCGTTCAGACTTTTCATTTTATAGGGATGCACTGCTTCATGAGCAAGAACGAGCATGGCTCTGGTTGAGCGAAGCGCAATCGATATTTGTTATCGTGGTTGTAGACTGTGGCCACATTTACATCACTATTAAACTCCACGCACCAGCATTATTTAAACTGCTTGAACCTATACTTCATTTCGCTAAATTTCGGGGTCGTCAACCTACGGTCCGTGGCCGTTACGTTTGGCCAAAAACTAAATTTTATACATATTAACTGATTCATATGATCACAGCTTGATGCCCCGGACAATTTTTATTTGACTCACTGATAATGAATGTGTCCCAGTACCGCACAAACTGAGACTGAAACTGGACAACTCGCTTTTCGAGGTTCAAGTTCATTATCTTCAGATGTTATGGTATGGACTATGGTAAGCATTTAATGATCGAAGAAAATGGTCAGCGTTAGCAGTGCTAATCGGGTATTATGAGCTTTCAGCTATTTCAATATTTGTTTAGGCTATTATTCTTGTGGTATCTCCTGTCAATTTCACGCGGAACATACAGTATTATCTTATACAATCGCGGTAACTACATATTTTCTGCCGGTAGTACTGTTGTTATCATTGATTCGTAATATTTCACTACCAGCGTGGCTCGATTCACATTGTTATTATATTGGCATTCGAGATTTAAGAATGAAAATCTTTTAATGCATTCCAATTCCATCAAAATGCCAATATGCAAAAAAAAAGTTATAAAAATTGCAGCAGTTTTGTGAATCAAAAATAGCTGTAAAATAGGCCTGTATAACTTCAACAACAGTGCGCCGAGAAACGTCTAAAAACGCGTAAACAAAAACTAAGATGTAAAAAAATAACTGCACCCAAAAAAATGAGCGACTAAGAATAAAAATCACTGCATTGTTTGATTTTAATGTCATTTTGGCATGAGAAGAAAACATAAATTTTTCACTTGGCTATTCTACGTCATTTACTGTTAAGCAATTTTCGTGGTGTGAGCTTGGCTTTCAGTAAGCTAGGAGGCTAGGATCAATTTCAATAACTGTAGTGCTTTTCTACATATTGATATAATTTTCTAGCAAGACTGTCATTTCGCTCAATAAAACAGTGGAGTAATTCAAATTATTTTTCAGTCCTGCCAGTTTCATGCAAATACGTTATGTTTCTATAGGACACTTTTGATATGATTTTGTGCTAAAAGCTGGCAAATTTTTCCGGTTTCAGTTTCAGTTTCCACTGTTTTACAAAATTTGTGTCTGGCCACTTTGACTTTTTGTCAGATTTTTGTCAAATTTATAGGCCACCATGACTGGAAAGAATACTGAAGCTGGTGGAAGCCAGGCTGGGTCGAGCAGCTCCAATATGGTAAGTGAATTGGTAATGACTTCAAATTTTCTGGGTATATCCTCATCCTGTTTTTTACAAATGCAATTCCAGTTGGGGGAGGTTTGGTCAAAAGTTGTCATTTTTAGTACGTACCTACATGCTTTTTTTGTCACACGTGCCAAAAATGGCAACGATTCTGCTATTTTTGACCGATGAAGCTGATTTCACTCCTCAGCGAAAAAAATCACGATTTGGAAAGATAAGCATTGATTTTCGAAGAGAAGTGATAAAAATAGCTGATAGCATTGTCATTTTTGGGAACGACGGTGAAAACAGGGCGCCTGGGGCGATTTGATCAAGGCTCGTGAAATTAACACGTGACATTTAGCATATTGTAGAAGGCCCACGGAGGGGGAGAAGTTCCAAATGTCATGTGACTAATTTGCCCTCCGGCGCCCTGTTTTCACCAGCGTCCATTTTTGGCACATGGTTGCCAAAAATGGCATGTGCTAAAAATGACGGGGATTGACCAAACCTCCCCAGTCCCCTGACTGATTCTATATATACATTATTTTAGGTTTGTCACCATTAGTTTATCCAAGAGTGTTAAAAAACTGGAGGGGCATATACTCTAGAAAGGTCCCTCAAGATCCAAATTGCACTGCATTCTGCTGCTAATATGCTTTGCTGTGCAGTTTGAAATAAACATATACCATTTTCACTACCTATTTACTTGGTATTCCTGTAATGTGCTAAAATTGGTGAATCTTTTTCCAGTTCATGCACTGCAGCAATGGCAAATGCCTCAAATTTTTTTGATCATCCGGTGTTTGGACGCGTGATCTAGGCGTCCAAATCGATCAGGACCTCAAGTTTCGTGAACAAGCCGCTGCAGCGGTATCCAGAGCCTCCCAGATGCTCGCGGTGATTCACAAGTCCTTCGAACGCATCGACGCCACCACGCTACCGCTTCTGTATAAGACCCTGGTACGACCGCACCTCGAGTACTGCAACATCGTATGGGGCCCCTTCAATCGCGCTGACCAGCAAAAGGTGGAGCGTGTCCAGAGACGAGCAACGAAGATGATCCCATCACTGAGGAGCCTACCATATGACCAACGACTACGCTCGCTGAAACTCCCGTCTCTCTATTATCGAAGGCGCCGCGGCGACATGATTATGACGTACCAACTTTTTCATGGGGGTGTTGAGTGTTGACCTCGATCCTGAGTCATTCTTTGAGTTGGCTGACTCTTCTACAAGAGGGCACCCCTGGAAGCTGTTGAAGCCGAGAGCGTCTTCCCGATCGAGGCGAAATGCGTACAGCGTCCGGGTCGTCAATGACTGGAATGCTCTTCCTGCTCATGTGGTTGAAGCGCGATCCCTGAACGAATTCAAGTCCAGGCTCGACCGCCACTGGTCCCACCTCCTCTACACCATCCACTCCAATGACTGAGGCAGTGATATCGTCATGGAGCTCGATAAGTCAGAGTCCCACAGGCCTAAGGGCCTTCAAAATTCTCGTACATCGTAAGTAAGTAAGTTACCATGCTTTCTCCAATAAAAACAATATGCGTGCAGAATATGTTCAATGATTTCGGTTTTCAGACAGCTGTTGGTTTTTTTACCCTTAATAGGAACAGCATTGTATTGCATGCATATTTTTTACTCGTCCAGAAATCCACTTGACACCTGAATATGTGTGGTTAGAGGATTGAAACTTGAATTTATCTTTGGAGGAAAAAGTCAATGTAAAAAATGCTAGCCCAGTCTTTGCAACAACATTTTACTTAGGTGTGCTCTATAATAGGAACAAAAAAGATCTTAACCTCTTCCAGTAATATGTGACCTGCTGAGTGCTGAGCTTATTTATTTCAATGATAGACCTGAAATATCTTGAATGTGCTATGTAGCTTCACATTGTGAAAGTTCCACTACCTTTCTCTTATCATTTTTTTGTTCCCTGAAAATGGCAAAATTATTTGTCCATAATTTTTTTTGAGATAATGCCATTTTAGTGATGCCATGTCACACCATTTTTGTCTATCAACCCATTTATCTCATTTTAAAATCTTACAACATCTTTAGTTTTAAATGAAGCATAGCACAGCAACAATAATTGTGGTTACTGTCTTCTTTTTGGAGTGGATTTTCTTGTTTTTGCCCTCTGTTTTAGAGCTTTTTTTTAATGTTTGTTTTTGCAAATAGCCTTTTGTATGGATTGCAATAAACATTATGCCAAGACAACAATGGTGTGGGTTTTATTGCAACTCCTAATTTTCGAGAACAGACAGCCGATTCCTGTACAAAACATTTTATAAAGCATTAATAGTTACCTGTTTGGTAGATTAGATACTGAATGTTGGCAGCTTGCAATTTGTTCAAATAATGGAATGTTTGTTTATTTATTATGTGCTTCATGCTTACTGTATTCCAAGCATTGTTGCAGTAGGATTGCAGCAAGCTTGTCCAATTCATCGTCTTTTCTGTGTGTGAGCCTGCGTTGCACACTAACAACCCCCGGCATGCTTCGCAGAATCAAAACATTCCCGAGTTCCTGCGGGGACTGCCATGCCGAGACTCGAAGAACTTTTCCAAGTTTTCTGCTGACAGCGGTCCGAAGTCGTCCGGCAAGAAGGCTCCAATCTACTTACCCACCACGGATCACCCATCGGAACAAGGTCAGAACCCTCACACTCGAGCCTCTCCCCTGCATACTGGGCTTACCTCTCGGCACCTCTCGTTACCTTTACTTACCTCTCGTTTGCCTGGCCTTTGAACGAAGCCGTGCTGTTCTGCAGTTGGTTGAACATTTTATTTTCCTCGGCTATCATAATAAAATCAAGCCCATCTGCAATAGTGCCCCCCAAAATTAAAATGATGTTAATGTGAATAGTTTAATCATTCCATTCTTGTAGAATGATTAGCTGGAAAATCAAATCACGTTCCCTACCAAAATACAACGGTAAAACTTTATGAAAATAAATATATGCTGGGAAATCTATTAAATCCGTACATATCGCATGATAAAAAAGGAAATATTCGAATACGGGCGTGCCTCGTGTCATGTTTGCGGTCTCCACCGACATGTTCTTCTCTCTGCTGGATCTGTCTACATGTGCATTGTGTGTATTATATAGCCGTGTTATTTTTCATTCGTCTGATGTCGGATAGTGCTGTCGAGATATCTGTCGCACGCGGCCCGTCAATGCCGTATCCGGCTAGAAGTTGACAGTCGCCAATGCCACTTACTACTGACAGTAGTTGTGCCACGGAATATATAGTCTACGACATGGAATGGACAGGAGCTTCGATTAGCATTGCCACGTGTGTAACCAAAAATCAAGGATTTTGCCGGATGAATATCCGGAGATCCGGAGGATGCGGATGAATTTCTTTCCACGTGGTTTACATTTTCATATATTTTCTTAACATTTCATACATTTTTTCTTAACAATCGTCCGAATGATTCGTCTTCATTTTCAAGGGTCAAGTTGTGACTGTGACGAAATGGTAACCGTATATTTTATTGGAAACTTTTAGCACACTTTGTTACGGGAGCATTTATACATATTCATTGCATTAGAGTTTTAACATTGGTCTAAAATTAAATGAAATTCGATGAAATTCGTCTAAAATTTGATGAAGATGAGGAAGTGCGAGCACTCGCGCTCTACTTTCAGGGTCCCAGGACTATATATAGCCTTGGTCCCAGGGCGTATCGGTTCCTACAAAAACGGTACGTCCTTCCCCATCCTCGAACTCTGCGGAGGAAGATGGAAAAAATACAGATGCGACCTGGCTTTCATGACGCTATCAGTATCTTGGCTCTCCTAAAAGAGAAGTTCGCCGGAGCAAGTGCCAAGGACAAGCTGCGCATCATTTCGTTCGACGAAATGCAGCTGAAACCAAGGTTGGCCTACCAGCGGGGTGATGACGTCATCGAGGGCTTCACTGATCATGGCTCTCTCTGCCGCGCCAATGCCTGCGCCGACCACGCCTTGGTCATGATGGTGCGGGGCGTCAGTGTCACCAAACGCTGGAAACAGCCCATCGGTTTCTTTCTGAGTTACGGAACGACCAAGGCCGTTGTGCAGCAGCAGCTGTTAACACAGTGTGTCCAACGTGTAACAACAGCGGGATTCACTGTGCTAGCTACAACTTGTGACATGTCAAAGAACAACCAGGCAACCTACAGACTGCTCGGAGCTGCGGAAACCGGCTTGTTCACCGTGGACAGGCACGAGGTTGCTGCTCTGTATGACGTGCCTCACATCTTCAAATGCATACGAAATGCATTAATGAAATACGATATTGAAGTAGACGGTGAAGTAGCCTCTTGGAGTCATTTAGAAACACTCTACGCACTGGAATGCGCTTCTTTCCCACGGGCTGCTCCAAAACTAAGCCAGAAACACATCAGGCCAAACAGCTTTGAAAAATGAAAGTCAGCTATGCCCTACAGGTGATGAGCCGGACAGTAGCAGCAGCAATCACATTGCATGCGACCCACGGCAAGCTCCCGCGCACTGCACTCCCGACTGCTACTCTCCTGCTGCGCCTCAACGACCTGCTCGATGTGCTAAACTCTTCCGCCCGGTTCGACCCCTGCTCAAAGCGACGCGCGATATCCAGCCTCCATCCAGCAACGGCGGGAGAACACATGCAGTTTCTTCAGGAGAGCGACGCCTGGCTGCAGCGGTGGACTGACGGTGGCGGCGCCAGCATCGACTCCATTCGAGGACTGCGACAAACGATAAAAGGCGTGGTGAAAATCTGGGACTTGTGTCAGGCTGCTGGGTGCACGTTCCTGTGCACTCGCCGCTTAAACCAAGATCCAAGCTACTGAAAATGAAAGAGTTTATCTCGGCAAAAATATATATTAGGCACATACACGGTGCCTGTGTACCTACTTATAATGAAGAAACATTATGACAACGTTTGAAACGTTTAACACAACCCCTCATCTAAATGCATTCATGAAACGTGAGTGGGCCAATAAAGGCAACTAGTTTTAACTGTAACAAAAAAGCACTTCTGGGCACGTAAATGGGGTAAATGTGGTAAAATGTGGTAAAATTCACCACCCCATATCGCCTCTACCGGAAACCCGTTTTAACCCCCGAAGGACATTGGCAATAGAGCAGGATCGTTCATGTTTATCAAAACAGCCGGCAACTTTCTATCGCAGCGAAATGTTGGCTAGGACGAGAGTCATTGCTTTCACTGACTATGACAAACCTACTCGAACGGATTTTCACCTAGGAAGTTACCAAACGAATGTTGAAAAATACATCAGCACCATGAAAAAACCTTACCCACCATCCTCAGCAACGCCGCCTCCCGCCGGCGTCCACAGGAAAAGGGCGGCAAACGAGCGAAGTTTGAATTGTCAGAAGTGATTCCAGACAGCAACACCTGATTAGAATAAAATGCACCTTCTCATATTGCCCCGGTACCCCGACGCCCCGTTATGCCCCACCTTCCCCTATTAGTTATCGGTCTGGCAACTATACTTTCATCCTCGTAAAGGAAGTAACCACAGCGAATCCGCACGACTAAATCATCAGGTCGCCAAAAACTCGGCAGTTACAGGAAATCTCGATCTTGTCCATTCCATGTCGTAGACTATATATTCCGTGGTTGTGCTGAGCGGCTGATGTATTCTGTGGAACTGAGCTTAGTTATAAATGTGATGCATCGCTACCCAGGAAGTGATGTGCAGCCAGTGCTCGTAATGTGTTTTACAGTTTTGACAATTATAGGTATGGAGTTGCTGAGTTGTCATCTGCCCAGTGCCCATTTTTTAAAAAATCAATTCTGCCTTAGGCCGGGATGACCATAATAGTTCAGCATATCATCCCACCTCCTTTATACTATCAGCAAATGCACACAGTTTCATTTTCAAATTAATTTCCAGGAGTGGCACGATCCTTAACTTTTTAGAAGCTCGGGTACTACTGACCTGATAACCCGACCTCGCGAGAAGCTTTTGACGGAAGATGTAAATTTTCCGATGACCTATGCCTTTTTTGCAGTACCATGTTTTTATTTTCCACAACACGTTCAAATGAGGACTGTTGCCAAAATGTCCCCCCCCCCACACACACACTTAAGCAGGATGATACTGATTATAGTTGGTCGTGCGTTAAATTGCAGCCAGCATGCCGCTATGGCTCCATTGGGTAATCACCAATTGGGTGAGTTTACCGTAAATCCGATTCGCAAGGGCTCATATGTGTCCTTTCTGAATGATTGCTCGTTGGTGATGAGAACGAATTAATTGCAATCGTTGTTTACGTCAATATTCAGTCCGCAAATCGCCACTATCTGTCTTTCACTGGCGAAACGTGTTTCTAACTCCCATCACTAGATGGCAGCAGCGTGTGCGCCTGAAGTGATGCTGTGCCGCAAGGCTTTAACACCCCTGTATTCACGGCCTTCGGGCCTTCTGTTGGAGGATACCTACATGCTATGCTATGCAGAACTCAATGCAAAGGCCCCAATGGCCGATGCTGTCTCGTTGCCTGAAATCCCAATAATCATCATTGGAGTTCGATCTTACCTAAGACGCGTTGCCCCCGGCGCGGTGCGGCCGACCGTCGAGTGATTCCGGCGATTAGTCACCGCCTGGTGACGCCCCCGCGTGAGAATCAGGACTGTGAAACGCCCCCGGCGCGAGAGGAGAATCGGCCCTGCGAGATGTCCCTGCTTTATAGTTGGGCCGGCGAGGAGCCCCTCCTGAGTTTTTTGGTTTCCGAGACTCTTCCATCTGTTAGGAACCTCCCATGGGTATCGGGCTCGTAAGCAGTCACGCTGAGTCTTGAATCTGACAGGCTTCCGCACTTCACCCGAGCGGATGACACGACTGCAGCTGCCTCTGAATTGAGATAATTATATGCACGTTTTAGAGTAGCCGTTAGGACAAAGGCAGATGAGCTGCTGTTCTGCCGGCGAGAATCCTGAAAATAAGCGCCAACGAGCAGTCATTTAGTCGTAACATTAGTTTCGATTCAACGCCTGCCTTCGAATATGATAGGTCATAGACCTGTGTATGGATAGGTTGAATTTAAGTGTTGCTTTGAAACGGGGTAATTAAGGGTTTGGGTTCCCGGTTGAAGTATGGTATGTTGCCAAGTATATTGATTGTGGCTTAACAGTGGCCTGTGTCATGCACGCTCCGAATTTTCAGAGCTGATTTTCCTGTTTCAGCAGCGATAACTTTATTGCTCCTTGACGCTTTTGGCGTTGTGCCATTTTGACGGCTTTCTGCGGACTATCTTTGACAAAACTGGGTTCTCTCGCTTTTCCTATCTGTTTCTTAGTGGTGCATTTGTGGGATCGGGACTTCACAATGCAATCTGAGAATATTGCTTTCTAGATATGGCGTTCTTGGAAATGTTATTTCACCCACTGAATCGCCTATGGTTGTAAATGTGAAATTAGCTATTACATCGGTCTGGCGGCCTTTGGCTGAGATGTGGATTTATGGGTGGCTCAGCATGAGCCAAACTTGACATCAGCACTCTGCTTCCCGATTATATGTGTGGGTGAGATGACAATGGTGACACTCAGTAAACGCTACTGGGTGCGATGGCAGATTCAGTGGTCGATGCTGAGTGCGATACCAGCATTCAATAGTCGAAACTTGATACGATGGCTCAGTCAGGCGATGGTTTCA